TCTAAATTACCGTTATATAGGATGTGGGCGTGGTTATTGTCCGATTTTAAAAATTTTCGGCCATTTGGTATGTTGTAGCAGGACCAACAACTGTGCCAAGTTTGGAAGAAATTGGTGCAGCGGTTACCAAGATATACACATGTAACCATAAGTAGGCGTGGCTACGCCCATTTGCCAAAATTTTTTAATATTCTTATTTTTCGTCTAAAACTCATTGTAAATATCAATTTTGAGTGAATTATCTTCAGTAGTTACTAAAATATCGCACTTTTCGTATTTCTGAAAATTACCGTTATATGGGAGGTAGGCGTGGTTATTGTCCGATTTCGCCCATTTTCAATACCATCCGTCCTATGCCCAAAAGAAGTCCACGTACCAAGTTTCGTTAAGATATCTCAATTTTTACTCGAGTTATCGTGTGCACAGACGGACGGACGGACGGACAGACAGTCACCGCTTAATCGATTTCCCTTTTCATTCTGATCATTTATGTATACATTTGTCTATATCTATCTCGATTCGTTTTGCCTGTTACAAACAACCGTTATGTGAACAAAGTTATAATACCCTTGTGCACAAGTGCGCTCGGGTATAAAAATTACCAGGTCACATATCTCTCGGATGGACTAAACCCAGACTTAGCCACCAGATATTCAACACAGGCGGCGGTCAAAGCTATGTGCAAGAATTGCTCCAACGAAAAAGTAAAAATTATAATGCAAGCTGGCACATTTACATCAATGAATGATGCCATCTCTAAATTCACCAATAGCCGCACAGAGATAACGGGTAGTTCAAATACAATCCTGAGCATACGACAACAAAATCAATACCGTGGTAATTTTCGTAGTGGTTACCGAAATAACAGCTACGGAAGTTATCAAGGTAGAAGATTTAGACCACAGCCCCGATACAACAACAATTTTAGACAAAATAACAACTCGCAAAGAGGATCATCAACTCAAAACAGAAACAGAAATTTTATACAGACTCGCAATGTACGTAATTGCACCCAGCAGGAAAACCAGCAAACTCCACTTCAACAGTAAATAACAAAAGAGTACGTGTACTTAATTTACACCTAAACAGCTACATATCTTCCAAAACTTCTCTAAGTAACACTATTTCAACTCTCTTGATAGACACAGGAGCAGATATATCTATTATAAAAAAGGGACAAATTGATAGCAATATCACCATTAATACTTCACAGATTACTGATTTGAAAGGCATTGGTCAAGGAATAACAAGCACACTAGGTACGGTCACAACAGACTTGAAAGTAGACGATCTATTAATTAAACACAAATTTCACATAGTAGAAGACAATTTCCCAATCCCGTGTGATGGAATTATAGGTTTAGATTTTATAAAGAAATATAATTGCATTCTAGATTATGGCAAAAATGAAGACAGATTAATTTTGAGACCTTATGATTTTCCAGAAAATATAATAATCCATATGACAAATAGACCAGCTATTAATACAATTACAATCCCCGCTAGGTCTGAAGTAATTCGGCAAATCAACGTAACTAATAATTCGGCACTTTTTATTCCCCATCAAAAATTGGCTGAAGGTATTTTCATAGCAAATACAATTACAAATAAAGACCAAACTTTTGTTAGAATCATTAATACCACAGATAAAAACGCAAGTATTCAGAATTACAATATCAAAACAGAAAATTTAAATAATTACATGTTAATCCAAGAAACAACAGAAAATAAAAATAATAACAAAGAAAAATTAAAAAGATTAGTTAAGAATTTCCCACAATTTGCTAGCCAACAATTAACGACATTATGTTCAGAATACATAGACATATTTGCATCAGAAGCAGAACCCATATCTTCTAATGATTTTTATAAACAAAAATTACGTATGAAAGATAACAACCCAGTCTATATAAAAAATTACAGATTACCACAAGCACACAAAGGTGAAATAAGTAAACAAATCAACAAATTAATCAAAGATGATATAATAGAACCATCTATGTCAGAATACAACAGCCCAATTTTATTAGTACCCAAAAAGTTATTACCAGGAAATACAGAAAAAAGATGGAGATTAGTCATTGATTATAGACAGGTAAATAAAAAATTAGCAGCAGATAAATTTCCACTTCCAAGAATCGACGACATTCTAGATCAATTAGGAAGAGCAAAATATTTTTAAAGCCTGGACCTAATGTCAGGTTTTCACCAAATAGAATTAGACTCAGACTCCAGAGATATAACATCGTTTACAGCAGACGATGGTACATACCGATTTAAAAGATTACCATATGGCCTAAAAGTAGCCCCAATTCGTTTCAAAGAATGATGACTTTAGCATTCGCAGGTCTTAAACCTTCACAAGCATTTTTATACATGGATGATTTAGTAGTATTAGGTTGTTCCGAAAATCACATGATGAAAAATTTACAAGATGTATTCTCAACTTGCAGAAAATATAATTTAAAGCTGCATCCCGATAAATGTTTATTTTTTAGTCAAGAAGTTACCTATCTGGGACACCGGTGCACAAGTAAAGGAATCCTACCAGATCCAAATAAACTCGAAATTGTTCAAAATTACCCAACACCCCAAAATGCGGAAGAAGTCAAACGATTCGTTC